GGAGTGTGAACTGGGTCTGTCCAGAGGGTTTTCCACTGTTCCTCTCCCACTTGCAACCTCCAGTGTTTAAGGTCTAGGAAGTTCTGATTCATAAGCTGTACCCCTCACTCCTACATTCAATAGCTACAGATGCCCTTTTCCTCTGAGAATGAGTCCAGTTCCTGTTTGAATCTGGCTAAACTCAGCTTCAGGAGTAGATACAGTAGAGGGTAAATGTAGATGGCCATACCCAACTTGACTCTGCCACCAATGTCTAGCACTCTGGACTGTCAAGCACCAGTTCTTGGGGCCTGACAACTTGGCCTTGCTTACTTGTATTAGTAGGATATACCCTCCATCTCACCCACCACACCTTGATCTTTTTAGCAAGAGGGGAGGCTCCTTGATAGTCTGCATCTGCCCTCAAAAGTGGCTCAGCTTGTTGTTTCTTGGGGCTCTACCTCCCCTTACACCCCATCCTTACACCAGCCAGGTTTTATGGTCTAGCCAGGCTATGTGTCATCTGGTGATAGAATGGCACTGTCCGCCAAATCAGTCAGTTAGTTGGGCTCAAGCCCAGTAAGTAGTCTCAACAGGTTAGTGAAAGTCTCCCTCTGCCCTGTCATGGCAGTCTAGGGATCTGGCGTGTCAAGCTGCCTGTGCTTGGGTTCCTTACTGAATGCCCATGCATTCAGTATGCCCTTGTTGCCAATAAGGCTAACGGGATACTGGGCTGCATTAATAGGAGCGTTGCCAGACGATTGAAGGAAGTGATTATTCCCCTCTATTCAGCAATGGTGAGGTCACATCTGGAGATCTGTGTCCAGTTTTAGTCCCCCCATCCCCACACACACACCCCTCACACACACACTACAGAAAGGATGTGGACAAGTTGGAAAGAGCCTAGCAGAGAGCAATGGAAATGGTGTGGGGGCTGGGGCACATGTTTTAGGACAGCGGTTTTCAAACTTTTTGAGCTGAGCCCCCCTTTGAGCCTCCCCCACCCACCTCACCCCAGAGGAGCAGCACAGCCAGGCATAGGGCACCTCTCATCCTAGGAGCCACCGCAGCTCAGCTTGGTTTGGCTCAGCTCAGTGGGATGGACTCCACCCACTGCAGCTCCAGTGCCTCCTGCCTTGGCCCCACTGCAGCTCTAGGCTGCGTGCCTGCCACACCAGGCTCCCAGAGGCACAGCAGCCCACTTGTGGAGCCTATCCAGGGTTCCCCACCTGCATCCCCACACAAGGCTGTAGCAGCTGAGGAGGGATTCAAAAGCATCCTTCAACTACCTGAAGTCTGGATCAGGAGGATGGAGCTGGAGTGTTTTCACTGGTGGCAAATGACAGAATAAGGAGTAACAGTCTCAAGTTGCAGCAAGGGAAGTTTAGGCTAGATATTAAGAAGACTTTTATCACCAGGAGGGAAGTAAAACACTGGAACAGGTTACCCAGAGAGGTTGTAGAATCTCCATCCTTGGAGGTTTTTAGACCCGACTAGACAAAGCCCTCGCTGGGATGATCTGGTTGGGGGTGGTCCTGCCTTGAGAAGGGGGTTGTACTAAATGATCTCCTGAGGTCCCTTCCAGCCCCATTTTCTATGATTCTATGAAATGCCCATGATGATGCCATAACAACCATAACTCATGGAAAAGTAGGGTTGGAAGGGTCTCCAGGAGGTCTCTTTTTTCCAATCCCCAGCTCGCTGTCTACACCACATAATTGCAGTCAGAAGGGACCATAAAGGCATGGGCAGATCTAGGATCTTGACAAGGGGGGTGCAGATAGTGTGGTACATCATCACATAGGACACAGCACACATTTTTCTCTAGGTATAAAGAAACTAGAAGCTTTGCTAACATGCCACAGGCTTGGGGCTGTGTTATTCAGGTTAAGAGGCAGACAAAAAAAATTAATGGAACATGAGTTAATTTGCTACTATTTCATGTACCGTGTAAAAAAACCACAACTAACTAGGCAAAAATAATCAAAAGGTGTTCTTTCATTAGTCCTGTAGCCATTCGTATGAAATGTCCCTCTCTTTCAGATTCATAAAATACAATGTAACCTATCTCTCCCCAGTCCCCACAGCCCTTATGACAGGGCCTCTGTTAGGAGAAACCTGGTCAGAGCAGAAGGCTACTCACTAGGACCTCAGGCCAACAGACCCCAGCAGTGGGGTTATTGTAACTTTGCCCCTGTCCAAATACCCCTCATGTTTGTACAGCCCTCCTCCCATAAGCATATAAATCAAATGAATGAATGGAGGGCTCTGTGGCCTGAGAAGGCAGGGTGCATGCGCTGAGGCAGGCTGAGAGGAGCTACATGACCTTCTGTTCATTTATTTGGCCTGCCCTCCTAGGTTATTGCTGTGGTGAAGGGTGAAGAGTGGAAGGGGGTACCTGTGTGTGGCAGACTCTGGGCAGGATTGGGGAGGGTCACTGCAAAGAGGGAAGAGAGAGGAACAGTGCCTAGGAGCCAGAAGAAGATGGGAATATGGATAGGACTGACGGCTAACATGACTGCAATCTGAAATATTCCCCAAAGTGTCCTGAGCTTGTAGCAGGGATTTTCGTAGCTGTAGCTGAAGGATGGACCAGCAGCCCTGGAGACTTATTCTGTATCTCCCACATGCAGCGAGGATCAATGGGCAATTTGGCCCCTCCTTTAGCCTACCCACCCTGGTCTTATTCTGACCAGTTGGGGCAAACACCAGCAAAGAGGTGGGAGGCAGGGGAGAGATGCACCGTTTAGTCTAAACGAAAAAAGCATAAACCGTCATAAACCCAATCTCACGGCATCAGATACAGTGAAAAGAACAATGATCTTTCCAGTCTAGGAAGCACACAGCTCCCTTCAATGTGTGGGAGAAAACACCACAGCTAAGTGGGTGGCAGATATGACAGCAAATGCAGGGGAGGGGACTCAAGGGCCAGTCTAGGATTTGGAAAGTTAGGTACCAATGGTGTAGCGCATCATCATGTATAGCAAAACACACATTTTTTCTCCAGTGAAGGAGAAACTAGAAGCTTTACTAATACACTAGGAACCTAATGCTACGTAGTATTCAGTTTCAGATCAAAGCCAAAGAAATATAACTTTAATGGAATATGAACAGATTTTCTAAAACTATGTATTAAGTCTAAGAAACACAAATTAAGCAAAAAATAGTCAGAAGACAGTTTTCCAGCAGCCCTGCAGCCAGTAAATGTTAAATGTACATCTCTTGTTCAGATTCATAAAACAAAATCTAGCCTTCTTGAGCATCTTGAGTGCCCTCAGTACTTCTCTGTCAGTCATTTCTACACCTAAATTCATATGACCACACCTCAGTTAAGGCTTTTAGCTAGAGCTAACAAGACGGTCCGCACGTCCAGATGCTCTCCACCCCAGGGTGCTGCGGGAATTGGCATGGGTCATCGCAGGGCTCCGGCACAGCTTTAGGAGCACTCGTGGTGCTCTGGCCAGGTGCCAGAAGACTGGAAGAAGGCCAATGTGGTCCCCATTTTCAGAAAGGGGAGGAGGGAGGATGCAGGCAACTATAGGCCCATTAGCCTTACTTCAGTCCTGGGGAAGCTCTTTGAGAAAATTATCCAGGAGCACATCAGTGAGGGACCAGCAGTGGGGAGGATGCTCAAGGGCAACCAACACGGGTTCATTAGGGGCAGGTCCTGTCAAACCAACTTGGTTGCCTTCTACAATCAGGTCACAAAATCATTGGGCACAGGTGTTGCGGTAGACATAGTCTTTCTGGACTTCAGGAAGGCCTTTCACACTGTCTCCCACCCCATTCTCATTAAAAAGCTAGGTGACTGTGGCATTGATGCCTACACAGTCAGATGGGTCACAAATTGGCTAGAGGGCTGCACCCAGAGAGTGGTGGTGGATGGGTCATATTCAACCTGGAGGGATGTGGGCAGTGGGGTCCCCCAGGGCTCGGTCCTCAGGCCCGCACTGTTCATCTTCATCAGCAACTTGGATGAGGGGGTGAAAAGCACCCTGTTCAAATTCACTGATGGCACCAACATTTGGGGTGAGGTAGGCATGCTAGAAGGGAGAGACAGGATACAACTGGACCTGGACAGGTTACAGGGGTGGGCGAATGTGAATAGGATGGGATTCAACACTGACAAGTGCAGGGTGCTGCACCTTGGGCAGGAAAAACCAGCGGCATACCTACAGGCTGGGGGACTCCCCTCTCGAAAAAGAACTTGGGAGCGGTCTTGAGAGGACGCGGTCAGGAAGGCCAACAGCACCTTGTCATGCATCCACAGATGCATCTCAAGCAGGTCCAAGGAGGTGATCCTCCCCCTTTATGCGGCACTGGTCAGGCCACAGTTGGAGTATGGCATCCAGTTCCTGGCGCTGCACTTCAGGAGGGATGTGGACAACATGGAGAGGGTCCAGAGGAGGCCACTCGCATGATCAGGGGGCAGCAGGGCAGGCCCTATGAGGAGAGGCTACAAGACCTGAACCTGTTCAGCCTTCACAAGAGAAGGCTGAGAGGGGATCTAGTGGCCATCTATAAACTTACCCGGGGGGACCAGAGGGGAATGGGTGAGATCCTGTTCCCCCGAGCACCTCCCGTAGTAACGAGGAATAACGGCCACAAGTTGATTGACAGTAGGTTCAGGCTGGACATCAGGAGGCACTGCTTCACGGTCAGGGTAGCTCGGATCTGTAACCAGCTTCCAAGGGAAGTGGTGCTGCCTCCTACCTTAGGGGTCGTTAAAAGGAGGCTTGATAACTACCTAGCTGGGGTCATATGAGCTTAAACTTACCACAGGTCATGTGAGCCCAGTATTCATTCCTGCCCAGGAATGAATTCCAGCCACACGTGCAAAATAATTATCAGACCATAAAAATGTCTCCTTCTTCTTCAGCAATCCCTCATAGTTGAGGATGATAGTCTTACATGATTGTCTTATCTGTGGGTCTGAAGATGGCTGATGAAGCCTACTGGGGATCGACAGACTCTACTGCAGCTCAGACATGTGTTTCCATGTGTGGTGGGTGGCCCTGGATTCTTGATTTGGTCTGTGACGCACTGTTTCTTCTGCTCCCACTTTTCCATCTCCTGTTGTTGTGAGGTTTCAAGGTACTGAGATCCCTGCAGCAGACTCTTCCTCCATTTGGGGTGGTCCTGGGCATTAGTTTCCCAAGAACTGACAACAATTTTGCAACTTTTAAGTTGGCCTTGAGGACATCCCTGAAGCCCTTTCTCTGCCCTCCACTTCAGCATGCACCTTGGCTGAGCTGCGAGAATAAAACTTGATTCAGGAGTCTGGAGTGGGACATCCAGATAACATGACCAGCTCAACGAAGTTGATGCCAGATGATCAATGCCTCAATACTCATGAAGTTTGCTTGCAGGAAAACGCTAATGTTGGGGCATCTGTCTTTCCACCCATTTCAAAAGATTTTGCGCCAGCAGCATTAATGGTACTTCTCCAACAACTTTAGATGTCTCCTGTACATTCTCCGTGTCTCAGTTTGGTGCAGCAAGGAGGGGATCACAACTGCTTGACAAACCATGAGCTTAGTTTCAGATCTGATGTTGCAATCTTCAAACACCCATTTCTTCAGGTGTTCAAAGGCTGCACGTGCACATTTGAGGTGATGCTGGATTTCTTCATCAAGGCCAGTCTTCTTCAAGAGATGGCTTCCAAGACACGTTCTCCAGAGTCCCACCGTGGATCTGGATTACCAGAGCTGGGGACTGTTCATTAGGAGTTTTAAAATGTCTATCCAGATATAAAACGAGCCGATTGGCGGCAAAGCTAGTGCTTCAAAATGTGCACAGGTTTATAGCTGTTTTCTATCCAGCTTTAATTTGAAAATGTGTCAGGACCCTTGAAGCAGTGAACATACTGAATGCAGTGAAATGCTGAGGACTATCGAGACACCAAGCAGCAAACTCATGCCCGTGATTCTGCCTCTGGCTTGGGCCAGCCAGTTGCTCTTAGCGAATGCTAAGGGGAAAGAGGCTGCCTTTTGGCAGCTGGCATTCCTCTTTGTTCTTCCAAGCAGCATTCCCAGGGTTCCCTAGCAGCATGGTGCAGGGGTGAGTGGGATAACACTGGGTGAGATATACTATGCTTGGAGGCTAAGGGGGCAGGGTAATGGTGCAAAGATGGACCTGACCCAGTCACTGCTCAGCTGGCTCCATTCAGCCTAAGCGCACCCTTGCAGGGGTTCATAATTCTGCTTTTCCCATGGGGCACTCTGGTTCAAGGGTTCTTCATTCTCCACCCCTGTCCCATCTGGCTTCCACCATCCTGTTGGGGAACACCCATGAGAAACAACTCCATTTGCTGATTGCCAGTCCCTCTCCCTAGCCCCACAACAGGTCCAATTCCTTCTGGTTGATGATATTCTTCTACATTAAGCCCAGGTGGCAGAAGCTGCTTTGCAGTGGCCCAATTGAAGGCACTGCTTTAATGGGTTTAATAACTGGGTGGGTTGAAGTAGGATGGGAGTTACCTTTGAGGGACCCTCTGATAAGCGAGTAGATGGGAGTTTTAACACCTGGCCACATTCAGAACTGAAGGGGCTGTAGACTGAAACGTACAGTCCTTCTCTAGTCCTAACATGCAGGCCCCCTTCTCATCTTCTCGAAGAGCTGATATGGAGCTAAATGGAGCTTTACCAAAGTGACCTTTGAGGCACTGGCTGGTTGAGGTCATCCAAAAGAAAAAGGCATGAAAATCATTGATAATGGAGTTTTTCTTGTTTCAGGAGGATAGCTTGTAACCCAGTGAGGCACCAACTCGTTTGTCCCAGCTCCCCCTAGTTCAGGGGTTCAGTTTGAGTTTCACCTTCTCTATGGTCTCCAGCCTGGTGCTGAGGTCCCTCTGGAAGTTGCCCTTCAGCTCCCCCACCAGCCTGGTGAGGGCCTCCTGGGCACCCTCACAGCCTCCATCCAACTGGGCTTTCTCAGCGTGGAAACTGGAACGGTCCTTACCCAGGAGACGCCCCACTTGTCTGAGTAGCTCCATCAGGTATTTTTGAACTATTGTGACATAGGTGTGGGAGATCAGCTGTACCAACTGAGCCACACTGATGGCACTGAATGCCCGTGTGACCTGCTGGAGGTTTTCATCCGAGTCCAGGCACTCCCTGATGTGCCAGTTGAGACAGAAGTCCACCAGGTTGGAGATCATCTGGAAGAACTGCACCATCTTCTTCCACTGTTGATGCAGGTTCCTCAGGGCCTCCAGTCCTTCTTCCAGGATGGAATCACACCTCTCCAAATCCCTTTCCCTGAACTCACACCGATTCATGGCGCACTGGATTTCTGTAGTCCTCTTGTTCAGGTCTTTCATCCTCTCGTAGTTGCTTCCCATCTCTTGCCAAGCCCTATCTTGCATCTCTTGGCTCCTCTCCAGTTTAGTGCTGTGTTTTTCCATAAAATGAGTCTTGTCTTTCTCCACACAGACAATGCCCAAAGAGCTGGGTCTTTTCTCAATGTCACTGAAAAAAGTCTTCAGGGCCTCATTTCCCTGGGCTTCCAACTTCACATGCTTCTGCTCAGCACGGTCCTGTTCATCCCTGGCAGGCTCCATCTGGCTCTTTACCTCTTTCAGCTCTGTCTGTACAGTCTCCAACACCTTATTCTTGCCCTGTCTGGCATTTAGGCAGGCCTGAAACAGCTCCTGCAACACATCTTCTTGCCCCATGAACTTGGCCTTCGCTTCTTCAGCCAGAGTCTTGCACTCCTTCGCTTTTCTCTGCATGTCCTCAATCTGCACAATAAACGGGTCCCTTTTCATGTTTACATCTTGAAGGAAACCCTGGATGAGGTCTTCCATCTTTCTGGGGACATTCTTCAACTGCCGGCGGATCAGGGTGGCTTTGTTCCTGCCCAGCTGGAAGGCATCCCACACTCTGTCACACACTTCCTGCAAGCACACCTTGAAGGATTTAGTCTCTTTGAAGTATCTGTACCCACCACTAGGGGCATGCTCACAGATGGAGAAGTCTCCTTTCTCCACAGGGATGCACACCAGCTGTCCCAGCAAGGCAACGATGATGGGGGCTGGCAGGAGGAACTTCTCCCAATTGGCCTCAGGCTTCATCAGCAACTCAGCCTCCTCACGCACCTTGCTCTCGTCCTCATAGCTCAGCTCAGATTTCATCATGGTGTGAGATGGCTCCTCCTCAGCTGCCATGGTGCAACCTGTAAAACAGGGAACAGGGGTCACCCATGGGCAGATCTAGGATTTTGAAGGGCGGGGGGATGCAGATGGTGAGATGCATCATCACATAGGACACAATACAGATTTTTCTCCAGTTACAAAGCAACTAGAAGCTTTACTGATATGCTAGGGGCCTAGAGCTACATTAGTCACGTTAAGATCAAAGGAAAACAAGTATTTATCTATTGGCATGTGTCTGGCTATATCACGTCATGTATAATAAACACAATAACTCCCTTGGGCTTCCAAGGGAAGTGGTGCTCGCCCCATCCTTGGGGGTCTTCAAGAGGAGACTGGACAGGCACCTGGCTGGGATCACATGATCCCAGGTTTGGTGACCCTTTTCTTGCCTGCCTATGCAGGGGGTTGGACTAGATGGCCCACTGAGGTCCCTTCCGACCCTAGAATCTATGAATCTATGAATCAATAAATTAGGCAAAAAATACCAGAAGATGCTGTTTCATTAGTCCTGTAGTCATTAGAATGAAGCAGACATCTCCTTCAGCTTCAGAAACCAAAATCTAGCCTTCTTGAGCATCTCAACAGTGCACCAGTACTTCACTGAAAGTTATTTCCCCGCATAAATTACTCTTCACCTGTCTTAATGGTTTCACACCCAATTTAATGTTTTTAGCAAGAATTAAAAGCAGACTGCAGGATTGTGAAATAGGAGCTCCATGACAAGGAGCAGATAACAGACAGCTGAATTGCGGGACAAAGGATAGCTTGATAAGCAGAACATCCACGGCATTAAAAAGGAGAGAGGGTGGTTAACACCTGTGGGATGAAGAGTTTAGAAGGAATGGGGTAGATTACAATGAGCCATGAAATCAATTGACTCCCTTGTTGCTGCCTGACTAGAAATGCTCTCGCCATTGCCAGGCAGTTGGTTTTAAGCTCTGGATGGAGCAGAAATCAAAGGGGAGTGCAACTGCACCACTGCAACCCGCCTTGGATCCACCTCCGATGACACACATCTAGTTGAAATTTCATTGCAGGACATTCTTGTATGCTCTGATGCCTACTGGGTCCACCCTTTTTCCAGGCACCATCTCTGGCCTCTCAAATTTGCTCTCCAGTAGAAGACTCCTAGTGTTGTACTCCTCTGCGCAGGTTTCAGACCTTGTGACCTTGCTGGCCTAGGTTGGAAGACCTGTCTTCCTCTGCCACCCCATCTTAAGATCACCCTCTAGAAAGGTTCACCGTACTTAACATATAGTTTAACCCAGTGGTGATCAACCTTTTTCCCCGGGGAGGAAGGGGGGCTGGGGGGAGGGCTCAGATGGGCAGTGCCTGGGCAGTCCACAGGCTGGTTCTGGCTGGTAGCCCCAGTACAGCTCCAGGGCAGGCATGCTAGGTCCCCATCCAGCTGCAAGGAGGGGAAAGAGGAGTAGCCTTGCCCTGATTCAGCCCCATGGGGGAAGGGAGCGTAGTTTGGCCCCAATCGAGCCTCATGGGGGTAAGGGGAGGGGGTCCCAGAAACATTTCAGCCATGTGGAGGGAAGAGGGCATAGCCTGGCCCCAATCTAGCTGCATGGGGGGAAAGGAGGCATGGCCTAGCCCCGATCTCGTCCTGTGCATCATGGTGAATGTTAGTTTGGTTTCACATGCTAAGTGGGAGAACCTGCTCTTACCGCATTTATCCCATATAATGCACACTGATTCTAGCTGCTGGTTGTCAGTGGGGGAAAGGTGCATGCCGCATATGAGGAATTATGGTATTAAACACAGAACCTGTTTGTTGTTTCTGTACCTTATTTGGTCCTGGGAGCAGGGCATGGAAACCAGGTGTCCTCTCATTTCCCCCTTCTCCCAGCTTCATGCCCTTGACCTCCGATTATAGAGTTGTGCTCACTCTCCCTTCCTGACCACATGACTCTTGAATTCCTTTCTGCAGACAAGTTATATAGACACTGGTTTGGGATGGTTTAGTCAGGGGTGAACCTGGCTTGAGCAGGGGACTGGACTAGATGCGTCCCTTCCAGCCTAACTTTCCTATGCTCCAATGATCATTTCCCACTGAGGGTAAAACAATTGGCCACCTCCCCAACAAGGTCTACATTGAAGATCGTGGTGTTCTCAGAAAACATGGGACCTAGAAAGTTTATGATCCAAGTGCTGCTGAAAAACTGGGGACAATTTGGGGATTAGCACACAAGAATGAAGTTTGAATGCATTGCTTAACAGCGAGTGAGGGACAGAATTTGGTCCATTTAGCTGGCTGAAAAGAAGGGTCAGAGGTTGCCCAAATATTTTTGGGGAGAGAAACAGTCTGGGCTGATGGACGTTTTTATGACTGCAAAATTTTCTAGTGAAATGACTGAATTTCCCCACCCCTTCTTCCCCAGGGGAATCCCACTAAGTTTGTCACGAGTGCTTTCATTATTTCAGTCTTTTAATCTTCAGTTCAGTTCAGTTCAGTTTAGGGGGATTTTCAGTGTCAACAGGTTTGTTGCCACTGTGATAATTTATGGTGCAGACTTGGCCATGGAGATGATAATAAAACCACTGGGCCTGTTCAAACCAGTCAAACAGCATAAGAATTTGGAAGGTTTGTAGGGATTTCTTTTCCTTCATCAAGCGCCTCTCAAAATATTTAATAATTTCTACCGGGCATAGAGTCATAGAAAATCCAGGCTGAAAGGGACTTCCAGAGGTCACATCTAGTCCATCTGAGGCTTGAGGCAGGATCATTTCCATCCAATCTACCCCAGATACATCCTTATCTAACCTAGTCCTACAATTACACAACAACCCTGTCACACAACTACAAGCCCATTGCCCAAAGGCACCAAGAGCCACTGAACCTGCACAGGTCAAGCAGGGGGACAAGGGCTATCAGTGTGCCATCCTGCGCTCCCTGTACCATTTGCTGCTGTGCTTTCTGGTCCATGCCCTGTGCTCCCTGTGTGATATGCTGCTGTGCTTTCTGCTCCCTCCCTATCTGTCACTGGGCAGTCTGTTCCCACCCCCATCTGCTGTGTGCCAGGTATGGCAGGGCACTTGGGATACCTGCCACTTAAAAAGGTCAGGCAGCCTGCAAAGCTGCTGGCAGGTGCAGGCCAGGGCTGATTGAGAGTCATCTGACCCAGGGAGCTGGAAGGTGGGACTAAGCCTGATACAGGGAGTCACCTGACTCAGGGAAGAATCACCCGACTCAGGATTTATAAACTTTTCCCTGAGAGAAGCCGGCAGTAAAATCTTGGGGCCCGCTGAGAGATGGCTAAAGCTCCAGGATGGCTAAGGCTCCAGAAGATCAACATGGAGGGTAACAGCTAAAGCAGTCTGGAGGTTCGGGGAGGAAGAAAGGGGAGAAAGAGGTTTCCAGGGACCCAGAACCTACGTTAAAAGGGCTAAGAGTGTGGGACAAGAGAGGGTCCATGAACCCCAGAGGAGGGGCTAAGTGAAAGATAATATCAATGAAGATGCCATCTGTGAGGCATGGGATATGGTGTAGGGGAGGAATGGAGCCATGCAATTAGCCCATAAGGCAATGACCATGGGTATTTTGAGAGAACAATTTGGAAAGCCCTGGAGCAGCCTCTCTCATAAAAGTAATAAACATTAAGGCATAGTGGGAGACTGAAGGGGTGATTGCCCACAGACTGAGGGCTGCAGAGGCTTCATGGCCACCCCTGGAGAGGCACCCGGGTATACCAGGAACTACAGGAGGCTCTGGCACTGTTGAGTGAATGGGCAATGAAATGGCAGATGAAATTCAATGTAGATATATGTAGAGATGCACAAAGACAATGATACCCCAAACTACCTACATCATGATGGGCTCAACATGAGCTTTTATCACACGGGAAAGAGATTCATAGATGTTAGGGTCGGAAGGGACCTCAATAGATCATCGAGTCCGACCCCCTGCATAGGCAGGAGTCTAAATTTGCTCTCTGCTAGCTTGTGGCATTATTTCTTGTAACCCCCGGGGGCGCCTTGGTGAATAAAACCTCACCAATTCCCTTCTGTGCCCCCGTGATGAACTTATAGGCAGCCACAAGGTCGCCTCTCAGCCTTCTCTTGCGGAGGCTGAAAAGGTCCAGTTTCTCTAGTCTCTCCTCGTAAGGCTTGGTCTGCAGGCCCTTAACCATACGAGTGGCCCTTCTCTGGACCCTCTCCAGGTTATCCGCATCCCTCTTGAAGTGCGGCGCCCAGAATTGCACGCAGTACTCCAACTGCGGTCTGACCAGCGCCCGATAGAGGGGAAGTATCACCTCCTTGGACCTATTCGTCATGCATCTGCTGATGCATGATAAAGTGCCATTGGCTTTTCTGATGGCTTCATCACACTGCCGACTCATGTTCATCTTGGAGTCCACTAGGACTACGAGATCCCTCTCCACTTCCATTCCACCCAGCAGGTCATTCCCTAGGCTGTAGGTGTGCTGGACATTTTTCCTCCCTAGGTGCAGCACTTTGCATTTCTCCTTGTTGAACTGCATTAGATCTGGGACTCATTGTGGACAGTTTGCTAAAAACATCTGCTTAGCATGCAGAAGCTCAAGGAGGCAAACAAAATGCTAGCAATTATTAAGAAAATTGTAAGCGGAAAGTCTCATGATGCCCTTTTGTAAATCCATGGTGCATCCACACCTTGAAGCCTATGCTCAGTCTGGTCTGCAACAAGGATGATGAGTGGCATGGAGGGTCTTCCCTATGAAGAGAAACCGTTCAGTTTAGAGAAGAGAAACTTGAGGGAAAACATGAAAAGGGTTTACAAAAACTGAAATGCTGAAGAAAAAGTAAATAGGGATTTATTATTGACTCTCTCCCAATATAAGGACTAGGGGCCACAACACAAAACTAGTAGAGAATAAGTTCAAAACTAACAAAATGAAGTTATTTATCACACGGTGTGTCATTAAGGTGCGAGACTCATTGCTACCAGATATGGTAAAAGTCAACAGTTTTGCCAGATTCAAGGAGAGACTGGAGATGTTGTTGGAGGAAAGAGGCATCAGTCACTATTGAACAGGCGTTAGGGATATGGCCTTTGAATTAGAATTTCCTAGACTTGAAATCCTGGAGGCTGCAAGTAGGAGAGGAAAAACCTTGGTCAGACCCAGATCCCTCTTTCTTCCAGCATCCATGCTCTGCTCCTGTGTGACACCAAAGATTGGGCAAAACAGACCTACGATCTGACCCAGTAAATGGCAGTTCTTATGTCACTAGAAAGGTTGTTAACATGCACTGGAAAAAGCCAAGGAAATGGGCCAGGGCCCCCACTACAGAGGAGAGCAAAACCCCCACAGTCTGTAACGATCTGACCAGGGGGTGACATTTCTTCCTGACCCCAAATGCAGTGATTGGTCTGACCCTGAGCACAGTGACAAGACCCTCTAGCCAGGACCCTCTGTGTTGGAGTCCCAGCAGAAGCACTGGCACAAACCAGTCATAGTCTCCAGCCTGGGCTGCAGCCAACACCCAACATTGCTGAGGAAGGTGGGAAAAAAAACAACCAAAACACCCAAACCTGAAACCTGTATCAAAAGGAGGGGGAAATCCTTTCTGGTGCCATGTGGCAACTAGAAAGGCTTGGGAAAAACCAAGCCTCATTATGGCTATGCAGATCAGATGGAGGGATGGTAGTTATTAAGGAGGCACCACAGTAAGATATGGCAAAAGGTGTCCAAGATCCCACTGGTTGAGAATGATTTTAAGAAGCTGTGGGGGATAATCCTGTGCTGCTTCATGATTTCCTGACACCGATTCTCCCATCAGCTTCACATTATGTAGGCTGTGCCTCTTTTTAAATTTCTTGAACCACCCCTTACTTGCAGAGCGCAGCAACAAAGTGTCATCATGCTGTGCGGGGAGACAGAGTGGGCTGGCGTGGCACACCACGAATATTCGAAACGGCAAATCACAAATCCACAAATAGTGAAGGTTTCCTATAATCCCCTGGCGAATCTAGTCCCCACATTCATGGCCCAAACCCTCAGGGGTGCTGTTCCACCATGGTGCTGAATTAACATAGGAGGTGTCCCTTGCTTCGGTTTTCACCCTGGTGCTCATGCCATCACGACGTAACCCAAGACCAAATGGTGCTGTCATCTACTTAACTGGACATATTAAAAATAAGGAGAAAAAACCCAAACCAAACCACAATGGAAAAATTAGCCCAGAAACAACACTTCTAAACTAGGGGCTGGAACCTACAGAAGCAGGATGCTGGCTGCTGTAGTCCTCCCGCACTACCTGTGGCAAAATTGGGTGTGATGTGTTGTGTTGTGTTGTGTTGTGTCAGGGCTCACGGTCATTGTATGAAGAGTTTAGATTACAGATTTTTCCAGGATGGTTTGCATAGGACTGATCCACCCTTAGGCAGTTGGTTAGACTAGATGTGACCCTTGGAGGTCCCTTCCAGTCCAACATCTCTAGGATTGTGTGCACGGACACTGATTTGACACTGGTTCCAGTAACATCCACAACTACGCAGTCAACACTGTGCAGAAATTCAGGGTCAAACTGACTTCTGAATTGAAAAGCATTAAGAAATTTCACCCCACTGTCAGACTGGCAAGGATTGGGGTGGGTTTTGCCTTCCTCTGGAGTTGGGGGCATGGCCGATTTCCTTGGATCTCTTGAATGTATATTAACGACCTTGCACAGCAGCGCGACATTAGCTGTTGTGGTTCCCCCACTTCTACTGCAGCAGATTTGGGTGTAACAGACTTGTGTCAGGGTTGATGGTAGCTTTGTGCAGAGGTTAGATAATGGTTTTGTGCAGGATGATTTGGATAGGCCTGATCCTGCCTCAGGCAGGGAGTTGGACAGGCATGGGTAACTGGTGCTGCCTTAGTGGGCGACTGGCGCCCCAGTGACTGGGGCGGGGGTCCCCCCATGGACAATCTCACCGCCTGGGGGGATCCCCGCATGGTCAATTGCACTGGCCAGAAAGCACTCCCGAAACACTCCCCGGCCAGTGCTCGCAGGGGGACACTGGCACTCCCATCTGCCCCACCCTGCCCATCACCTAAGTGAGGAGCATGGCCCATCAGGGGGTGCACCAGTGCTCTCAGGGGGTGCACGTGCACCCCGGTGTACCCCACACACATCCCCATTGTGGACAGGGTGACCTCTGGAGGTCCCTTACAGCCCAAAACCTCTAGCATGTCCATGCCCTGCAGCCGATGAGACCCTGTGTATCTCCTGCTGACTGCAGAAAAAGGGTGAACCCAAGCAGGGAACATGCCTCGCTGACTCTTGGGATGTAAGCAGTCCAGAGACAGCTCCCCAGCTGCTACAAGTGACGTGCAGCACCACTGCCTTCCAGGAAGCCAGATCCCCAGCTGGAGGCTATTCCCAAAGAAATCCAGTGAAAAACTGCTGACTAACAGCAGGGAAGGAGCTGGCTCCAAAGGGCCTTTTCTCTCCTCCTGTGTCCGCCCCCACACTGCAAAGAACTCACCCTTTGAATATGCACAAGTCGTTCAAATGGCTTCGGTTTGTGATGCTTCCTGTAGCCAGATTCAGTCTCCAAGTCGTGGGGGTGAAAAGCAAAGCCAGGGTCCCATGTCAATAAATCAGGAGTCCTGCCTGGACAGAAACCTCACAGGCACAAGCAGAGAAAAAGCTGGCAGTGACAGTAGCTGGGCAAACTCCTGGCACTGTGGGGGCACTGACAGAAGTGACTCATGCACTCAGCCCCCTGAACGCAGTCTACAGCTGTGCCGTGCAGAAGTGCATGGCTGCAGAGCATGTTAAAAGTGGCCGGTTGCACGATAAATTAACCCTCACCTAATGAGAGATCCAAAGTGGAGCATCTTTGGGAACTGCTCTTCTCCAGGATCGTGATCAGCTGGGAAGCCCAGCCCCGCCCCTGGGACTGTCTGCAGGAAGGGAGGGGGGGAGAAGGGAAGAGGAGGGAGCTGCTGGCTGGGGTTTGACCAGCCGGAGTTGGAGGGAAGGGTGGATTGAGCATCCTTGTCTTGTGGCCCCCCCTGCCTCCTCTCCTTCAGTTCAGGCTAGGCAAACCCCTGCCAGCAGCTCCCTCCGCCTGCCTTCCTCCCTGCACACAGCACTGCAGCTGGGGGGCGGGGGGGGGCCTGGCTGTGTCAGCCCTGCCCCAATCACAGGACAGGCATGCAGGCTCAATCCCTCCCCCCACCAAAAACCAAATATCTGTTGGGTTGAGGGGGATGGGGCCAGGGGGCTGTGGGGCAGGAGTGTGGGGACTTGAATTGAAAAAGGTTGACAGCCACTGCCTTAAAGGCTCCCCTTCAGCGTGGGGGCGCAGCCAGCTGAGTTGCAAACTGCTTGCAAACTTCCCTATTCTCACTCCCTGGTTGCTCAGCAGTCTCCTTTTATCCCCAGGGCAGGCAGAGTCAAGCCCGCAGGCTGGTTCAGGCCTGCAACAGACTCCATTTCCCAGCAGCCCCTTACCTGTGGTGCTGCAGACAATTTCTATGGAGACCCCAGCAGTGGCGGGGCCCTGACAGCGCAGGGCCAGGGTTTCCATGGGACCCGTCCCAGCAGTGCTGGCAGGGCACACGGCTGGGTGGGGAGCTGCTCCGGGGCCCGGATCTTGCAGTGGTGACTGCGTGGTCTGGAGCCAGAGCAAAGCGGCAATCTGCTGCCCGCGCACCCTGGGCAGGGGCATGCAGACAGCAGATTGTGGCTCTTCCCCGGCTCTGGACCACGCGGTCACCATCACGAGATCCCGGCCCTGCAGCAGCTCCCCGCCCAGCCGTGTGCCATGCTGGTGCTGCTGGGGCTACTGTCCCTGGGAACACTGGACCCAAGCTGTCATGGCCCTGCCGCTGTTAGGGTCTCCATGAAAACCGGCTGGGTGAGCAATGCGGGCCGGGAGCTGCTAGTAAATGAAATCTGGACGCCAGCCGGATCTGCCGTTTTGCCCACCCCTGGGCCGGGAATGGCTCCACTCCCTCTTTAGGGCTTTTGTCAGACACAGGCAGCAATCCCCCAGCAATTAATCAGCTAGCACAAGGGTCGGCAACCCCTGGTCCGCGCGTCCGTGCCAGGGCGGGGGGAAAGGGA